TATATGTTAATCCCAAGCTCCTAATTTATCCCTGCCCCCGCCTTTCCCCTTTGGTAACCATAAGTTTGTTTTCTAAGTCTGTAAGTCTGTTTCTGTTTTGTAAATAAATTTATTTGTTAAATATCACACCCAGAGAAGAACAACAATCAAACTGATGTGTTTCCATTTCGATAGAAAGTTGCTTATGCTCACGTGACAAAAACCTGCCATTTAGCCTGTGTGTCCTGGAAAGCACACGCCGTTTTCTATGTGTGGCCGAGAGAGGAGTCACCTACAAGAGCCTGTGGCCTGTAGGAGACACAATGAGTGATTGCTTATGCTTCTGAGAAGCCAGGGACTCGGGGGTCCCGGCCAACATCAAGGGTGTAGAAACAAAAGCTGCATTTGAATCCTTGCTGCCGAAAGCAGTCTTCCTGCTTCCTTCGGAAAACCCTCATAACGCCAACGGCAGCACCGGGATCCCTGGCTGTGCAGTGCCCTCATCAACAGCATCCACTTACTCAGTGCGTGAAAACCAATTACCTCACTTCTTACTCCCTCACAGCTTGGGCCACAGTAACACCTCGGGGACTTATTAAATGACAAGCTGACAGGCTATCAGATGACGAATTCATTTGGTGTGCAGTTGCCTAGTTGTCTGATTTGGATTTCAACTTCCCTAAGAAAATGATCCCCACTTCTGCTACGCCAAGGAACCCCTTTGTTCAGACACGTTGAGTTCGCCATCTCTGCCAGTTTTCACAAAACAGGCTGGTTTTGCTGAAGAGGTACATTTCACAGAGGTAGGAATCACAGAAAGCAGCCTGCCAGCCTCTCCGTGGGAGAGCGTTCAACTCCATCTCAGCCACAAAGGAGAACAAAGAGCGAGGTTGCTCTAATATGCTGGTGCCAGAAGAAATTTTAGGGTAGCTCAGCCCCCGCCGCTGCTTAGAACTTAAGGTGGTTCGCGTGTAGGTGGGGGCAATGAGAGGTGAGGAGGGCGCATTTCCTCTGGATCAAGTGCTCCCATTTTTTTTGCTGCCGAGAGCTCTTATAACAAAGATACACGTGGCTCGGCTTTGGCTTTTGGATCACTCAAGCCCAGTTTCTGAAGAGCCCCAGAGACACGGTTAGTTACATGCGTGATGTTGAACTGTACTTTTCTTAGGGTTGCTCACGTATCATCATCAAATACCATCGCTGTGAGAAGCGATGTGAAGAACCTTATGATCACAATGAAAAGCAAAACTCTAAGTTTTCCATGTGAAAGAAAAGAAAGAAGATTCAATGAAAAATGAGTTTGAACGCTGCGATCATTAGATTCATTTTAGTGCCTGTGCCATGTTATATTCTGTAACTGCCACAATGGTGACAGCAGTTTTACTTTCCTGCT